TACAATGGAGACGACAAATATTAGAAAAAGTAACGAAATTTCAATATAACTCTAAAAATATTGAGCGTCTAAGCACACTTTAGAGATATTTTTCAGTCAGAAATGCAATACAATAAGAAACTTACACAATGTCATAAAAATTCCGCCTACTCAAAGACATTAATAATTTTTTACACAATAATTTAATAAACAAACCAAAATGGAATAGAGATGTTAAGTCTTCGACAACTGTGTGTTGCATGTTGTACATCTTAAAGATCTATAAGAGGTGGGAATCGTAAAAGAGTAGGGTACTAGACCTGTGCTGGCAAAATCTCCTAATTGCAACACTGCATGGCGTCGTCCCTCCTCAAAAATCCATACAGGAACAGAAATGAACAACGTAAAACACCATTTCATTTCACGTTTAACTTTAACCCTTCTCTTCCTGATTTGGCTATTGAAGATAGAGCTAGCTGACAAACCAAATCGCTACTGACTGACTGAACTATCTGACAGCTCTTCCTAAAGTACCTAACCAGCTAGCTGACGACAAACTAAATCGCTACTAACTGACTTAACAATCTGAAAGCTCTTCCTAAAGAATATAAGAACCCAGCTTGCGATAAATTAACTTTATACAGCCTGACTAGACTGCCCTTGCCTTTCTAGAGCATTTAACCACCCAGCTGACGACAAACTGACTCTCTCCAGTCTGACTGAACTATCCAACAACCCCCCCCCCCCCCCCGACACTTAAATGCCTGCTGTTGTAAGCCCCCTGTCACAATTATGTGGCCTCTACTCGCCCCCGACTTATGATTCATAGAAACGCCATGAAACGAAACGATAGCAAAACCAAAAGCCTAAATAATAAATGAAAACACTGCACGCTTTATTGGTTGCCTGTAGTTAATCGTTGGCGAGACTGTAACAACGTTTCGGTTGCTTACCTTTCTATTGAGGTGCTAATGAAATATTTCATAAAAAAAAATCCTGGATTTTCAGGAATTTCTAATACTTTTTGATTCCAATTAAAATCTAAGAACTTATTCCTGGAAGAATAAAAAAAAACAGAGAGCTGGAAAGGTACAGATTGAGACATCTTCACAATGTCAAGCTGGGAATGTTCTGGTAAAAGCGCTCGGTGGTTCTTTAGAACAATCTAACGAAATGAAAGACTTTTCTCAATCTAATTAAAATCAGATTACAATTTCGTTTCATTGTCATTATTTTTGTTGGTATCCATTGACATCTAACGAAATTTATACCAAGTCACGTACTGGTGACGTTTCAAGCTATTTATTGCAGCAGCGGTTGCTCAGTGAGTTAGACGCTTGCTCGCTTACCTGAAGGTCCAGGGTTCAATCCTGGCATCGGTCGTGATAAGACCCTCGGATTTTTTAATCCGGTTTCCCCCTGTCAGTAATGCAGGTAAGAGGGGCAGACTAGGAAAAGCAACTAGTTGTTCGGATGGGACGATAAACCGAGGTCCTGTGTACTATAGACTGTGCAAGTTAAAGATCCCTCGACAGTTGAAAATCGAAAAAAGCAGGCTTATGCCAATGTCGTAGCAAAATTCCGTCATTTGCACCCTGCATAGCGTTACCCGTCTTCATTAGCCCACATGGTGCAGAAAAGTAGGACGAAAAACTCCATTCATTTCATTTTATTTTTTTCAAGCTATTTACAGCAGACAATCACGCACAGCTCTGTGGCCAATCAGAATCCTTTTTACAAGCGAGTATCGGCAGTAACATAATCTCACAGGTCATATAGGTCTACTTTGGGTTTTCTATCCCACAATTCATAGTCAATATTAAGACACTGACGGGCTGTGATTGGTTAAAATGAAGGTTAACGGTACACGGTATTGATAAAAATCGTTTTAGATTGCTATGGAGTCCATCAAAAAAAAAATAAAGAAACGAAATTGTAATTTGAAGTGCGATGGAAACTACGCCCAATGATAAAAATACTGTAGAAGGAAGGTTTAGAAAGCAAGCAGTCAGGACATCATGTTCGCATGTTCAGCACTCAAGAAGTTAGTGAATCTAAACGTTTACAAGACATATCAATTTCATTTTTTTTAATATCAAAACAGCTATTTTATTGATAACGTTTAATGTCATATTACGTGGTCCAGAAAAACAAACCACGCCTCCGCAAATCTTCAGCAAGTTCATTCCAAATGAAAACGAAATGAATGGAGTTTTACGTCGTAATTTTCTGCACATAATTGGACAAAATAATGCGGGCTACGCCATGCAGTGTACAATGTAGGAAGTAGGTATTTGCCTACTCTTTTTCGATTCCAAACTGTAGAGGGATCATTAACGTGCACAGCCTGTAGCACACTGGGCTCGGTTTATTGCCCCATCCGAACGACGTGACGCTTTTTCAATGTCAGCTCCTCAGACCTGCATCACTGATAGGGGAAACTTGGTTTAAAAATCCGAGGTATCATCTCGACCTATTGAACCCTAAAATTCATTTAAAGGGGAAATATGTATCTGCTTCAAATCAACAAGAACTGTAAAACTATCACGTCAATATTTAAACAAAGATTTATCACTTTCTGTTTACATTGTAAATCATTCTTGACTTTTTCATAGTTCATTGTTTTATCCATGTCATTTGCTTCTAACTTTGTTTAAAAAAAATATTATAATTTTCATGATTAGTTTTTAAAGACCATGGTCGGCCATTCCCGGGAGTTGATGTTGGATCTTGAGAATATGTATGTAAATATCTTCAGATGGTAAAAGAAATGTATGAAAATCGCACAATTACTCTTTCAAATATGCCTCAAACTAGAAATTTCACATTCTATATCTGTACATGTGTATGACTTAAAACGCACGTAATTCAGAAACACATGGATTTGATGGCTCAAATTACGACGGGGTTTTGTAATCAACAAAATAAACTCTTCCCAATCAAAACGAGATATAAATCAAGAACTGTCCACACTATCGATCAAAGATATTTGTGCGAATGTGGGAACATTAAAATTTGATGCACGCGCAGTCCATTTATTATGAGGTATGATAAATAGTAAATGAAACTATACAGGTCTACGCACAGTTGTGAAGAAAATGATCTCGAACATTTCTTCAGTTTCTTTGTAATTGACCGAGTCTACAATAAGCTAATGAATCTGATTGGTTGTAAATTCATCCATTTTGTGCGGGGTTACATGTATTAAAAGTAAAGCTTCCGTGTTGTTCGGTTAATTCTAATCTCTAGAAAGCGATGTACTGAAAATTGGAATGCTGCAAATCGATATCATCCCCGATACGCACAAATGGTTTAAAAATCTCTTCCCTTTAAGTGTTTCAATGACATTCTACGTTGGAATTTATATCATAATGCTATCATAAACATTACACTGTTGATAAAAACATAGTATAACATAGTCAATATCATCCAATCTCTTCAAATGTATTGAACAATTTCTTAAAGCTGTCATGAACAAGATTTACATTTCTAATCAAAATTATATAATCCTAGTCGGAAATCAAAATACTGGGCATTCGGCCAATCTCGGCAGTTTCTGCCAACAGGTTGAAACCGGATGTAGCAAAATAAATTATAAATAGAAATAAAGAATGTATGTGGTAGATGAATAGAAAATATACAAGTCAAAATTGAGAGTATTTGTTCACGAAACACGGTTAGATCTACATAAAAGTTTGAGTTGATAAATATATCAATAATACGCAGACGTGGAATTTAGGAAAGCATGAAACACAATTTCATTGTATATGATAGTATATTTAAATACCATATTTCAAGGCATGCAAATAAAATTGTTTTCTAATTTCATGGTGGCTTTATCTTTGAAGCCAGTCAATAATGTATGAAAAAAAGTTTTCATTGAATAAAACGTTCTACTTTTCTGCTCCTTATAGGCTAATGAAGACGGATAAATTAATGTAGTGTGCATTGAGGGATACTTTGCCAGTACAGCGACTATAACCTATAACTATATAATGGTTTTCGATTGCAAACTGTCAAAGGATCTTTAACATGAACAGCTCTTTTAGCACATATCAGGACATAAGATGATTCCATCAAACACATGTTACTCAATAAAACAGAAGACAGCACAAGACTCAATTACAGAGCACAATACTCAGCTATACATCACAGCACAAGATTAAATCACACAGCACAATACTCAGCTATATATTACAGCACAAGACTCAATTACTTAGCACAATACTCAGCTATACATCACAGCACATGACTCAATTACTTAGCACAATACTCAGCTATACACCACAGCACAAGACTAAATTACACAGCACAATACTCAGTTACATATTACAGCACAAGACTCAATTACACAGCACAATACTCAGCTATATTATACAAGAACAAGACTCAATTACACAGCACAACACTCAGCTATACATCACAGCACATGACTCAATTACTTAGCACAATACTCAGCTATACACCATAGCACAAGACTAAATTACACAGCACAATACTCAGTTATACATCACAGCACAAGACTCAATTACACAGCACAATACTCAGCTATTTACGAAACACAATTTCAAAGCACTGCACAACTAAAAATAGTCTTATTGTTAAAGGAGGGTAGTTGTGTATTACGGCGTGATTGAAACATATCAGACCACATAATCATAAGAAGTCAGTATTTCATTATGAAAAGTAGTATCAGGTGTCTAAACATAGAGTGTAGGCATATAAAAGATCTTTATTTTTATCTACTGTATCAAGTAGAAGTATCTATCCATAAAATTAAATTTATCTATAACCTGTGCTTCTAATATGCCTTTGAAAGATTACTGTATCAAGGGTTAAATATTGGCGAGATATTGGTTCGTGTCTTTTTCATATAATCTTTGTACTCTGTCCCACCTCAAACAATTTACTGCCTTTTCAACTGACGTAAAGTATGAGACAACAACAGATGGCAAGGGAGAGAACCTTATATATACCACTCATTTTAGACCACATTGGTTATCAAGTAACTCATCGTCACCATGTTGGTTTTGTTACTGTTAGTCGCTGTCACCGTTGGTAAGTATGAAATTTGAGTCAAGGTAAACGCTCCAAATTTAATAGTAATGATGACAATATAAATTGCTGAATCATTGTGTACAAATAATCCATTATATTATAAAACTGTGTTCCGTTATAAAATGTCAACTCTACCCTTTAATGTCGTTCAAGGATTATTAAAAAGTGAGTGGGATATAGTTTGAATTCCGCTTATCGTATTACTTCAGAATGAAAAATCCACTTTGGACCCATCTACAATTAGAGAACGAACTGTGATCTATGTAGAGACGGTATCATACACATGACCTGTAAGTACATCGACTTTCATGCAGCATGTTTTATATAGTGCAAAAGAGCCATAAGCCAGAGTTTTATTCTAAAAGTGTTACGGGGTACTACGAGAAAGAAGAACACAATCACAAATCCAACTTTCTTTCATTCCAGAGGCTCGACAAAGAATCGTGGGTGGTGTAGATGCCGAGCCCCACACTCATCCGTGGCAGGTGTCTCTCAGACGAGTAACCTCCGAGGGGCAGTCCCATTTCTGTGGAGGTGTCATCCTCAATGAAAATTATGTTTTAACTGCAGCTCATTGTTTGACTGCTTAGTAAGTAGAATTGTTATTTACTGAAATAGCCATTTCGCGCATAACGATTTCCACGAAGCAATGGGATCCATAGGGGTTTGCTAACTGAGTAACTTTACAGTGGGTAATGTACTGTTGTATTATTATAGCTGTTATAAGTCATTATTTGAAGCATCTTCACAATGTCAAGGTATTACGAACTTTGCCTTATATCTGCAATAGTCACTTTTTATGTATCACGGAAGTTTGTAAATAGAAAGTCTACAAAAATAAGCCATAATGTTTCCAGTCTTTATATAAAGAGCTTTGATTGGTTGTGTTCGCTGGCCTACAATTCAATCAAATCGTAGCATTGATTCAAGAAAGATTACAAAGTCTGGTATAAGAAGCAGTTTGTAATAGCTTGACATTGTGAAGGGATATAGTTGACGTTATATTATCGGTAATTCGGTAAAAACACCATAAGAGAACGTTAGTAATGACCTTGAAACGTTGACGGGTGTGTGTCACTACCTTTGTATTGGTTCATGTTATTTTTAATTACATACGATCTATAAAATAGGTATTGTCATTATGAAATGTGTTACGCATGTCCTCTATTTAATCTGCTTATCTGAATTCAGCCCTGCCAACGAGGTGAAAGTAACAGCTGGTGGCCATTTTCTCCAATCGCAGTCAGAATTCGAAACAGAATCTTTTGCTGAGAGTCTCATCTTGGTAAGTATACTCTTCCATTTATTTTTAGCCAACAGAAGAATTTCGAGGTTTGGAGAATAAAGTACTTGAATCCCAAAACTAAATAAAAGATAGCTTGCCAGGCAAGGTAATATACGCCCACTGATAGCTTTGTTTGAAATTGAATATTTGTTAGAAAATAGCAAACATAGACACCAGGAAATATTTCGTTAAAATCCTTCAAGAATTGTGCCTTCTAGAGTGTTTACGAGCTAAAAATTGAACACGTTTTCAATGACAAGGGCAATAATTCATACTAAATATTTTTTGATTTCGCTGATTTTCAATAGGGTTTATCCTTGGGTGATAACGAACACTCATACCAAGTTTCGTCAAAATCTGTCAAGAATTGTGCCTTCTAGAGTGTTTACGAGCTAAAAATTGAACGCGTTTGCAAGAACAAGGGCAATACTTCATACTAAATATTTTTCGATTTCGCTGATTTTCAATAGGGTTTATCCTTGGGTGATTACGAACAGTCATACCAAGTTTCGTTAAAATCCTTCAAGAATTATGCCTTCTAGAGTGTTTACGAGCTAAAAATTGAACGCGTTTGCAAGAACAAGGGCAATAATTCATACTTAATATTTTTCGATTTCGCTGATTTTCAATAGGGTCTATCCTTGGGTGATAACGAACACTCATACCAAGTTTCGTCAAAATCTGTCAAGAATTGTGCCTTCTAGAGTGTTTACGAGCTAAAAATTGAACGCGTTTGCAAGAACAAGGGCAATAATTCATACTAAATGTTTTTCGATTTCGCTGATTTTCAATAGGGTTTATCCTTGGGTGATTACAAACACTCATACCAAGTTTCGTCAAAATCTGTCAAGAATTGTGCCTTCTAGTGTGTTTACGAGCTAAAAATTAACAAGGGCAATAATTCATGCTAAATATTTTTCGATTTCGCTGATTTTCAATAGGGTTTATCCTTGGGTGATTACAAACACTCATGCCAAGTTTCGTCAAAATCTGTCAAGAATTGTGCCTTCTAGTGTGTTTACGAGCTAAAAATTAACAAGGGCAATAATTCATGCTAAATATTTTTCGATTTCGCTGATTTTCAATAGGGTTTATCATTGGGTGATTGCGAACACACATACTAAGTTTTGTTAAAATCTGTCAAGAATTTTGCCCTGTAGAGTGTTCACGAGCAATTGTGGACGGACGGACGGACCGACGGACATGGGTGACGACAATATACGCCCCCTATTTCATGTGGGCGTATAAAAATTAAATTTCTACCGGCAAATGTTATCTGCAGTTGTCGGTATAAATTTAGGAAGCACCAGAATATCTCACTTGACTAATTGAGTCGACATTTATGCAGTTTCCCTATAGTGACTGAAACAGATCGGTTCTGCTTAAGATGAAATATCCAAAAAAAATCTTCCATGCACTAAATCTAATGCACACTTTTTCATAAGCAGCAACAGGTGCAGAAAGTCGTACATGAAACGAAATTTTCTTCCAAATATTTTTGTAGCATGAAAGCTATGATGGAAACGCACAAGGATTCCCTAACGACATCGCTCTTATCAAGCTAGCGACACCTATCAGCGAAAATGGAGGAATTCAATATGGTGGACTTCCTGTAGACGATAGTAGTGACTACAGTGGTTCTTCCGGTTGCTATATCACTGGATGGGGACGTACAATTGGTAAGTCAAGATGAACTAGAGTGAGCTTGTAGAATATTCTTGGACTTCTTTCTCCTGTTCAATGACTTCACTTACTTTACTCCAATTTTTTAGAGAAAACCCCATTTAATGATGCTGTCCTGATGAGGATTGCTTATGTTGGCAGTATGAGATGAAATTTAGTCAATTAGACCAAACCATAAAAAAAAACATGAGAAAACAATACAATATATATATTACAAAATATACATTGTAAATCTGAACATGCCCTCACTATGAATGTACACTGATGACAATTAGCTTGTTTTTTCAGCTGGAGGTGCCTTACCTAACGCTCTCCAAGAAACCCCAATAAGTATTCTGACGAACAGTGACTGTAAAAGCCGTCTGTCCATCTTGCTCTATTTCGCATTGAGAGACACTCATATCTGTACATATGGTGGCGGAACAAGTAGCGCCTGCAATGTAAGTAGCCTTTTTCTGAAAGGTTTCCACAGGTCAACTTAGTTTCATTTTTTTATTACCGTGTGATCTTCGGTGGATTTCTGAAGCAGCCAGTTGTTCGGAAAGGAAATTAAGCCGAGACCCTGAACGATACAAGATCAAAACGCGTAGGCAAATACCACTTTCTCGACAAAATTTCCAAAATATTACATTATGCTTGGCTTTGTTTGTTGTGCAATCCCTCTATATATATTGTGTCATATTATTTTTTTTTTATTGCAGGGAGACAGTGGAGGACCAGCTGTTTGTGACGATGGTAATGGCGGAAAAGTAGTTGTGGGAGTCACCTCTTGGGGTGAGGCCAATTGTCCCCAGAACAAACCTTCCGTCTACACCCGACTCAGTAAATACTTGACCTGGATTAACAGCAAAATGGTTTGAATTATGCTCGATTGAGTGAACCTGATCAAATGAAAACCTATCCAGACAGAAAATTCAATAAATATAAATCAAGTTCTTGTTCTGTGGTCCTTACACCATTAAAATGGTTCCTTCTACCTCAAACGTGATACAAGGATGGGATTTTGACACAGTTAGGGCCAGGTATAAATGTCGATTTTAGTGGGAGTAGAGCCAGGTCCATTCATGGATAGCTAGTTTTTGAGAATTTTCACCATGTTTCCATTCAAAGCTGAACCAATAAGGCATCTACCGAGATGTGGATCACGTGATTTTGGTCACGGTGCGCATGTTCTCTCAATGTTTTTATTTGTAGATAGTCCAGAACAAAATGAGGCCAGATTTAAAGGGCTTGGCTATAGATAAGGTGGTTGGTGGATGAGAAATTCTCCCCACTCCCCACCCCAGCTAGCTGTTGTCAAAGGCTATAAGTTGTTGAGTGCGATTCTCGCCCAAAATTTGCCATACTATCTAAAATATTAAGAGTCTAACGAAAATTGAATTCAGGGACCATGATCGAGACAGGGCATCTGCCTAGACCCAGTTTTTAAGACGTTTTAGTATCTAAACATGGTAAAACCGCCTGAACAATGGGGTTTTATGTTCTGTCAGACTTCAATATTTCAGGTGAGACACGNCTGCAACACCCACCCCCCCCCCCCCCCCCTCCCCCCCCCCCTCCCCAACCACCATCACCATCACCATTACCTCCTTTTCTAGTCTCTATCGGTATACGTGCATCTAACGTGAGGATATTCAAATTAGGGTCGAACACTTGTGATCCTAAATACTATGAACAAATCCACACGATGATTTGAAATAAAATCACACAACTTCCCCTAATTCTTTTCAAATTGGGGAAAATACCACAGACCAATGGGGTGAAACGGGCCAAAACAAAAATTCGTCCAATCATCGCACGTGACTTTCACTGTCTTTAAATTGGTGTTTGTCGTGCCAGACGATAGACTGTGAGATCAAAGAAAAACGCCGAGAAAGTGACAATTGAGATATATCGTATTTCTGAACGGGGTCTGTATGATATATGTTGGATTAGCTATGTTAGATATCGGCTCTGGATTAATATACATATAAACACATTTCATGTAAGTTACATTCAAATTGAAATGAATTGAATGGAGTTTTGCGTTCTACCTTTCTGTACCTAATTGAGCTAATGAAGACGGCAACGTCTTGCACTGTGCAATGGGGGGAATTTTGCCAGGAAAGTGACAATAGCCTACTCTTTTTTGAGTTCCAAACTGTCGAGGATCCTACATAGTTGAAAGCCTGTTTTTGTCCTGGTGATATTTTAATGTAGAAACTTTTGCTTAAAATATTAACCTAAGCAAACTTTCTAAATTAATAATAACTTCAAAGTTTTGAATACTTTCATTAATCTAAATTTAAAATTTGTCGACATGTTTTCCAGGTTTCAGTTAAAAATATAATACTTTTATACTCATAATACTCATTACTACTTAAAATATCATTTGTCTTAATACGTCAGTCATAAATCAAATTAAAAAACAGAATCGATAAACAGAGCAACATTCGAGATATTTAAAAGCAAAACATAAAATTTTCAAGTCAAAATCACTATATACGTTGAATACCTTTGCAAGAAAGCATTTCTATTATGGTAATTATAGTGTCTAACTACTTGACTAATTATTTATTTTTGAAAAAAATTTATCCTATTCAAGATCATTCATTCAATGAAGTTTTGGAGACAAACCGATCGTCAGGTCGATAGGCAAATAAAGCGAGTTGCATCTCATGAATGAGATTACGACGAACCATTCAAACGTTCAATAAAGACATCAAAACGTCAAGAAATTGTCAACAATGATAATAACGTAAGATAGAATTGAGTGATTTTAATTATAAAAGATGATATTTTGATAAATATAATCGATAGAGGATTCACATCGTTTTAGACGGTCGTAATTTAAAATGATAGAAGTTTGTCTAGCTCTTATATGTATATTTAGGACATTTATAGCTTTATTTTTTTTATGAATTATGCAAAAATCATCTGAAGAAAATCAATAAAAGGAAAAAAACAAAAAACTAGAACTACAATTAATAACACAAAATATCCATTAAATTTCTCAAAGTTCAAGTTAAGTTGAGTAAAGGTATATAAAGAGAAAATTAAAATCAAGGTAAAAGCAGTTAAAAGATGAAAAATGCCGCCAGGTAAAAATTGGTCAATAATCGAAGATTGAGTATTTGTTTTCACACTTGAGTCAATATTCTTTATCAGTTTTTATCACTTTTACGAGATTTTATTGTCTTTTTATCAAAATTATTCATCTAATTTTACCAATCAAACATACCAAAACAAGGCACTTCTAAAACCTCAATACCACAAACGACATTGTTAAATTGACGTATTACTCCACCCACCAGACCCCCCCCCCCCCCCTTGTGTTAAAAGGGCCAGTCATGTTGCTAATTTATCCTTCAGATCCCACCTGAACCGCTTTGAATGATTAGATATAACTTCATAAGAACGCAACTAGGATAGAAAACTTGTTAGATTACACTAACTAAATTGTAATTCTATTACATTGTTCATCAATATAAAAAAAGCTTGTAAAATATTTCTATTTATCTCCAGTATGCACGTAAAGAAGACTACTGTGCTATTGTTTATGGCATTAGTTCTGGTTTTAATATTCCACGAGGCACGTTCACAGTTGAATTACTTGTTCACACCTTGTACAGGTAAGTGTTCATGTCTATTTCTATTACTACTGTGTAGTCTTCAACTACTTTACTACATGTAGTGTGTAATGAAGGAAATTGGCGACGACTTTGTTATTAAATAATTTTTCGATTTCGAATGCGAATGCGAGACCCAAGTTGATATCTTTGTAATGTATATATCTTGTGTTACTTTCTTTCAAAGTGTGAAAGTCACTATCAATATCCAATGTAATATCAAATATTTGCCATGTCGGATGGGCGTTACTAACATAAATTTTTATTCAAAACACCCGGGACGGAATCCAATAAAAGTACCTCAGAGTAATTTGCCCTTAGTATTCGTGGCTTAACACGCGACTGTTGGAATGCTTTGAAGTATATTGAGTATTTTCCACATGACTGTGTCTTTAATTTGTTCGACAATCAAATACTAGTTACTAGCAAATAAATGAAAGCTAAGCTATACACATTGTATTGTGAGAAGGATACCGTATATATTTTGTCATGCCAGATTGGGGAATAGTAGAAATAACTATGCAACCAATGTTTCCACGTCGGCTTTTCTCCTACATTCTGCTATTTTCCAACCATAAATTTTAATATAGTATCAATTAGCAAATTGTTTTAGTTGGATAACGAAGAAAATGATGACTCAAAATTATGGAATATGGAATTAGTGTTTGATGTTAAATACAAATAATGGAATCTCCATTTTGTACTTAAATAGGATTATGCAATATATAAAAACAGATAAAAACTGTAATCCTTAGAAACGTCGTGTTTGAAATCCTATCTGACGTTTTTCAATAAAAGCTTACAGTCGATTAGGAGCAAGGAGGTAAATTAACATTGAATTGTTGAATGTAGACTGTATATAATAGGGTTTTATTGAAGTCGACAGTCTTCTCCCTTTTTCACATTCCCTTCTTAATGTCACTACAGGTCCCTTTCAGAGTCACGTTTTAGGGTACTTAACAATATTTTACAACAATTACAAGAAAATATGGATTTTAAGGATACAGGTGCAGGTTCATTACTAAATAGTTGACGATGTTATGCCAACCCTGCGCTCGATCACAGTAGCCTAGATTTTCTTCTCAAGCAATTGTAGACAATTTGAACTTGTCACAAACAAAACCTTTTAACGTTAAAATGCAAGTTGATGCATAGTAACATCATAAAGCATTAGAGGGGCTGTAAAAAGGTATCTGGGCTGATTTACAGTATTATAATATTTACAATATTTCAAAATATTACCATCTTTATCACAATCGAAAAGAAAAATTTAGAAAAATGGTATATAGGCTAAAAGATTGAGAATCCGATTGTTTCATACAAAAATTGTCTGCACCTGATTGGGCTAATGAAGGCGGGTTACGCCGTGCAGTGTGCAATGCGGGACATTTTGCCATGGCAGCTATATTACTTTGTGAGCCTGATCTTTTTCGATTTCCAACTGTCATGGGATCTTCAACGTGCGCAGCCTGTATTACACGGGGCTCTGGTTTATTGTCAGACAGGGGGAAACTGAAAAAAAATTCCGGGTATTATGCGGGCATATGCCGGGATTGAACCCTGGACCTTCGGGTTAGTAATTGTTTTAAACAAAGTCATCAGAAAATAAATAGCTAACAAATAATGAAACAAAATTGATAAACTTGTGTTCAATGTGAGAAAGTATCATCTTTCAAATAGTCATTGCCACCCAACACATTTATATATATTTTTTGTGAACAAATTAATTGGATTGACATAACTGACAATTAAAGTTGAACAAGTTATCTTTAAGGCACGTAAATTTCTCAAGTATAAGTGGTTGCAAATTGATGTATCTCATTTCGAAATTGGATGCACAAGTAAAAACATACACAGAATACAGGCCTTTAATTAAAACCTATTTTATACATTTGATATTTTCCTCAAATTTTACCAACTGACTCGTAAATAATACGATAAAAAGGATAAGATCTTTTCAAAACTATTAAAGTCACACACATCAAAATACACGTATAGCCTACTATAGTATGTCAAATGTGTAATTAAAGGGACGTAGTCGTCTAAATATTTGCTCCACAGCAATTTCAGAGCATCACTTTTCAGAATTCAAATACAATCGCTGGTTCTGCTTCTTATCAACAAATATAATGTGTTATTTTGGACTTCACTTCCGGAGTGTTATTAACCCTATTATTAAATATTTTAATTCAATTAATTGTTGTATCGAAGAACCAGACTCCAAACTATATTTCTGACAAGTGGTGTGGATGGAAAGGTTAATCTGTACAACATTATGCCTAGACGACTTTATCTCTTTAAGACTATCACAAAGTTATACGGTTACATAAAGTTTCTTTGAAAGAGTGCACGGAAACATTCGATATATAGTGACTTTAACTATCAGTAAATCGTTAATAATAGACCAAAGGCAACATTAATTAAGATAGGGTTGTGAGAACGGGTAGTTTCCATTGTGTGAGATTACAATTACAAACTTACTTGTCGCCATAATTAGATTTACAAATAAAAAAACGCGACCAAGAAAAATTGCTTATATTAAGTCCGAGATCAAATACATGAACAATGTTAACTTAAATTCCAAAAATACAAATCGTCGTTTATACATTTACAATAGAAAAACATGACTACGAAATATTGTAGACCCCAAATACGACGGTGCTCACTGCGAAGATTCCGCCGAAGGAAAGACAAAAACTGTCTATCAATCAGCATACATCGTGTATCTTTGCCCATGAGATCGTCAACATTGCGACCCTATCGGATAAACCATATTGCTAATAATGTTTTAATTTTTCGCGATTTGTGTTATTTAAGTCCGTGAATTACAATTAAAACTTGCATGTTGTCATATTTAGATTTACAAATAGTATAATAGTTCTAAACATCTGATTGGTCAATTGATACAATTTAGTTTTATTATCCAATCAGATTTCTTGAGACATCTTGAGAACAAGGCCCCAGATTTGAAAGACTTTCGGATTGTCATTTAACAGGTGACTAAATCACAGTTTTGCGTTAAGAATTAAACAAAAATTTCGAAATTTCACAAATACGTTAAATTACTTAAATAAACCCTGACGAAATAACCAGTTCAAAGGTGAACTTTCAATTCGTCTATTTAACTCCAATAAATAGAAACTGTTCATAGTTGAAAGACCTTATGACATACAACGTGTTTAAATACAGAGTTCAGTCCCTTTGTTTTCCTTCCCAGACTTCCTTCACATTTAGCGGTCTATACAAAGAAACAAAGAGTTTAACGTCTACTAGGTACTCTGTTCCTCATTTGGTGAATGAGATGAAACGGAGTTTTGCATCTTACTTATCTACTAATGATTGGACTAATGAAATGAAATTGAATTGGTGTTCTTCTTCAAGGCTTCTAATGGGAATAATGAAAATTGACAACTCCATGCAATGTGCAAGGAGGAAATATTAATCGGCATCCATATTGGCCTACTCTTTTCCGATTTCCAACTGTCGATGGATCTTTAACGTGCTCAGTCCGTAGCACATGGGTTTTTTGTTTATTGTCACATCAGAAAGACTTGACGCTTTTTTCACGTCAGGTTCTACAACAGCTTGAACAGGCATCAATGACAAAGGAACACTATTGGTAGTCATTAGTCGATCGACTGACGACGCGGATACAATATTCATTTGGTTTTCTTGATTCTACTAAACTGACCGCCGTCAATTTGTTTTGTGGAAATTCAATTATCACTTACATGAAAACAAGTTATTATGTTGATAAGTTATTAATGGGGTACATAGTAATTATAGACCAAGAATATATGTTAAAGCGTCAGTAGGTGCCGATATTCAGGGTTTATATTGTGTGAAATATTTATATCGTAGTCGTAGTGAAGAGTTGGATATAATGGCAACGAAAAGCTTTGAAATTATTTAAACAACGATTGCTTCCTTTACCAAAATGTTCATTTTCACAATGGTTTAAGTATGAAGAAGTCTCTTGTGAGCTATTCCTTTCAACGACAATATATAGCCAGACATTTATTTACCCATTGAACACAAATCTATAGTGTTTTCGTTTACATTTTGACGTTAATTTTTTATATTACCGATGTTGCTTATTATTAGAAATAACCCCTGTTTGATGGACGACAGTATGCAAAATGGTTTCAACACCATAACTTGTTGAGCAAGCTTAAAACTATAACCAGAGATAAAAGACGAAAATCAAAAGTTCGGCTATTCTTTTTACTCAATCATCAAAGACGGGGAAATAGTTCGGCAATTTTAACTCATGTTCAGCTTCAAAGGCAAAAGATTTACCACCTGGCTAATATTTCACACCCCAGTTTAATTAATTTTACTTCAGGATCATAAATTGTAAATTTTAAAATATGTTCTGATAGGCGTGAGTAGGGCACTTTTTCAACGTGTGGTACTTCGACTAAGTAGCGTATTTAGGGGTTTGGGCAATTGAGCCATGCCCAACCTCACCCAGGCCTGTGGTAAGGTCTTATGTTGAAGTAAAAATTAAGCCCTCTAAATGCCCAAAGGCATAAATATATAGAAACCATGTAATTCTATGGATTTAAAACATTGACTAATTGGCCACGAACTTCTATAACATTCTAGATTAATGTACAGCATATATCTTTATATTTGGAAGCAACTACACCGACTGATATCCTCGACTTTCTAACAAAGTCTATCTTCACAATGTCCAGTTATTTCGATGTTCTATATTTCCCCCAAGGGAGAAAGGTTGAATCACTTCGTTTTTTTTTTGTTTTTAATTTCAGATCTGAAGCCAATAGACTTAATCCAGGAAGCAGTGTCAAGAATAAAACAGCTACCAGATGGCGTCAGTGTCGTTTATGACACCAACAGTCACGTCCACGCCTTTGAAATCTCCAGTGAAGGGAGAGAACTCAGTTTTCCTGCAAAAAACATATTTTTCCGGTGCAACTTATTTCCGGAAGAATTTTCTATATTTTTTGTTTTCAGGAATAAATTCAGATTGGATAATCGAAAGTGCTTATTTTCTATATTGGATATTGTTTCAAAACAAACAACTATGTCCGTGTCTTTATCCAAATATAGAGTGATCTTTCAATATTTGAACCAAACGATCAAATTCAAGACATCTATCTTGGAAGACTCGTTTTGGCATACGATAGGAATAAGTGTGGCAGGTAAAACGGTTGCTATGACAACGGATTGTTTGAATGTGACAAACAAGAAAATTGAAAGAGATTTTCCGACCTTACTCTCAGTAAAAAATAACACATTTAGAATTGGGAAATGCGACTCGGACAGATCTCTATATCAGGCAAGTTCTCCAGTGTTAGTTGTATCATGACCCACACTGTTAGACCAAATTATACCTTAATCACGGAAAGCATGTATTTTAGCCGTTATGGAGGATTGGAATTCTAAATCATATGTGTTTTTGCTGTGTTGACAAGCACTATCACAGAGCGGCACAGGTGTCTGTGAAATATGGGGATACTTTGTTTGAAGATCAACACCTGTTGCGGTTTGTACAAGCTGAAGACTCCTCCACTGATGGATACGTTCAGGTTAATGCCACTGTCCTCGGAAATATCCTGTATTGGACACTACATGACGTTTATTGCCCTCGTTACTCACAACAGGCGCAGTTTGATGTATTACTCACTTTATTTCACTTGACATTCCAGGGTATGTTAAAAGATGTAATATTTGTACCAGAAGCCGATGCTGCATCACAAGCCTGTCCTCCACGACCACAACCCAACTACGAGTTGGACAATAACATTCCTATGATTCCAGGTAAACAAATGTTTGGAAATCCATTCAGAAAAGTCATAATGACTGCCAAAATTAAACTCTATCAAGAAAAATACTAAAATATGGATTGCCACGAGCAGTCAACATATTAATCCGACATAAACTTGGGAACTCGCGAATTGTCTTTCTGTATAAGTAATCGATCTCATTGAACAGAAGGACTATACATGTATTTAGAAAATCATTGTGTTTTTTTTCTTTCCAGATATTCCGATAAAGTCGTATTGGCCACGTGGGTCGATATGCACGTGGATGGACGTCGGTAACTTGGCGTTTGATGTGTACAGTCAGAAACTTAAAGTATGTGTAAACGGTATTTGGCAAGAAGTCGAAGTAGACGCAGGTAATTAAAGCGAACATCTCCAAAATTTTCTTGTAATCCTAAAAATTTCCTTGGGTAAATAACAATACATAGTTTCATTAGTGGTAGCGCAAACACTCTACAAGCGGATATAAGCCCACTATTTAAAGAGGCAAATGTTTGAACCTCCATTGAAAGTTTAAATTGATGGGAGACAACTGATTGAGGTCCTATGAAAGCAAAACTTCGTTTGAATCCACCAGTTATCAATTCTGTGCTCGTACAAATTGATTGCGATCCAATAAGGATTCACACATTTCAGATCGTCATCGGCTTGATTACGTCATAGAATATCAGATGATTCCATTAGACAGTCCGTCCATTGATGTCGAGATATTCCACCTGCCCGGAGAAGGAATGTTCGCTGCCTTTGCTAATAATGGTATAGTCCATGAAGGTCAGGATCCGACAGGATATTCCTCCATCCTTTACTGGAATGACGGAAAATTTAAATTTTATCAAAAACTGGAGACTGATTCAGCACAGTCATGGGAATTTTTTACCATTGGAAACCAGGTAAGTTCAGTTAAGTGACTAATTATAATGTTCCTGATACACCCACTCGACTTTTAATTTCATTATTTCTACCGAATTTTTTATGGAATACAAATCAGAATTCAAATTGATTAGACAAAACTAAAATTTGGTGTGATTAATTGCTATTCATGTCGATCTAAATTGAACCCTGTCTCAAAATCATCACAAGCATTATCATTATCGTCATCATAACATCATCAGAATGTTCAGAGATATAACTTCAATATTACTCGGCCCCTGCTTATTGGGGTATTTTATTCCGAATTTATTTAATTTCAGTTTTTCCTTGCAGTTGCTAATTATGGGACCAGCAATTCCAACTCTACCTACTCAACAATATTTAGGTGGCATCGACGAAGGAAAAAATTTAAAAAGCATCAAAAAATACTGACGTGGACCGCCCGCGATTTTGAATATTTTCAAATTGATGGTGAACATTATCTGGCTGTTGCCAATCACGCTAAAGGTATGTTGGTTATTGAAAGAAAAATTTGCACTAATTTAAAAAGACCCTTGTCGTTGCCTATGCTCATGTATTATTCATTATTCAACTTTGCAAATTTGTTTACACTTTCCTGTATTTTATAGGCGATGAAAACGAAGTGGAGTCTTGTATCTATCAATGGAATAAAATATCGAGATTATTTGAAGAGTATCAGAAGATTACTACAACTGGGGCCTATGATTGGACTTATTTCAAAGTAGACGGTTTCCACTTCCTTGCCGTGGCCAATGCTTTTAATGGCCTCACAACCCTCTTTTTCTCCATACTGTATTTCTGGCAAGGTGGCCAGTTCGTCCAATTTCAGACCATGGAGGTGGGTTAAAATGATTATTAGAATAAACATTGTAATCCTGACTTTGTTGAAATACAGGGCCCTGTTTCACAAAGCAATTTGAAGACGAATTTTAGTTAAAATTGATTTTAAGTTAAGTTATGTGAATTTTTTCAGACAAATGGTGCCACAGATTGGGAGTGGTTCGTGATAGAAAATGACATGTATCTAGGTGTAGCAAACGCCTTCAATTATGGTCCCCAGAATTTCCAGGATATAGACACCCATTATACCAATTCTACCATTTATAAACTGAACACTGAGAAGCGGGTGTTTGAAAAATACCAATCGATCCCCACGTATAGGTAATGTGATTTTATTTGTAATGATTTTTCTTTATATAGATTAGCAGCTATGTGGACTCTCTGTAAAGGATACACCCACTGGCAGCTGTCAGAAATGATTATACAGTCTTAATTGGCTAAAATTTTCTCATTTTAAAGATCTTCATAATGTTTATAAAGTGAGAAATTGTGAAAATTCAAACTTGACCAAGATCTCATTAATATAAATAAATAGGAACGGAAAACTCAATAAATTTCATATCACTCATCAATATAAATCATCACACCACATTTCATAAAAATGAGATGAAATCTGTAGTCTTTATTGTGCTCATGAACAAATTTAGACACGTTTTTATATATCAAGGGCAATAACTCAAAAACTATTCATTGAAAAATCGTCAAATTTGGACTTGATCATCAATATATAAGATTTCATTAAAATCAGATAATTTGTGTTCAGAAACAAATTGTGACCTGTTTTTCCTCATTCAAGGGCAATAACTCAAAACTGTTCATCGTAAAATCTTGTCCAAGAGCAATATCTCATCTCATATATGATCGCACAAAATTCCATTTAAATCGCATGAAAATTCTCGTCTCATTGTGCTCATGAACCATTTTTGACGCGTTTTGTTTTAGTCAAGGGCAATAACTCAAACACTGTTCATCGAAAAATCTCCTCATCAATATATATGATCACACTAAATTTCATTGAAATTAGTTGAAAACTGTAGTCTATATTGTGCCCACGAACAAATTTTGACGCGTGTTGACTATGTCAAGGGCAATAACTCAAATCCGTTCATTGTAAAATCTTAAAAACTGAACTTGTATACAAGATCTCATTAGTACAGTCAAGTAACCTAATTTTGTGCTAATCTATTTTTCGTGCATCTCCGGGAATGGTTAATGATTTACATGTGCGACCTCGCGTGACCTCCGCATTTGCTTGTTTTGATAGACATGGGTTATTTGTACAATATCAGCTAGTGGAATAAATCCAGTAGTTTCAAGCAGGGTAAAATGTATTAATGTATACTTTGACAAATACAAAATGGCGGATTTCAGTTATTACCAAACTTTTTATCGGTCGAACTTCCTTAAAATCCCTAGCGGTAATCGGAACGAAAGAAGTCACGTGATCAACTAGCGGATTTCGTGGGAGTAGAAACATTCTATGGAATGCAATGTGGGCCATATTCTTATGTTGTTTTTCAATGACTTTTAGTAATAAATCACGCTACGTATCTTATTTTGTTAGTCACTTTTGTCACTAGTTATAATGAATTGATATTAAGTTTATTATACCACTGGGTATCCATACAACGTGTTTTTCTCGACTTATTTATAAATCAAACATTGTACACGAAAATAGGTGACGCATTTTCCCGCGGTTATCGAGTTGGTTACTCATGAAATATTGAGATTCATAAAGAAAATCGAAATAAACCAATTTTAATTATTTTGTAAAATATCTGAGCAAACATCTAAGACATTTTTTTTAACTTTGACGAAATTTGGTGTTTTATCCATATATGAACGAAAATAGGTTACACCACTGTAATTTCACTGAAATAGGATGAAAAATGTAGTCTTCATGGTGCTCACAAACAAATTTTGACTAAATCAACTCAAAAACCGTTTAACGAAAAATCTTTCAATTCGAACTTGTCCAAGATCTTCTCAAAATTAATGTCACACATTTCATTTAATTTAGATAAAACTGTAGTCTCTATTGTGCTCACAAGAGATATTGACAGACGGACCGGCGGACGAACAGGGGTGACATTAATATACGTCCACATTTCTATGTTGGCGTATAATTACAAAGGAAAAATGATACACAGAACGTTTCTTTACTTGCTAAGAGTCATCTTCACAATGTTAAACTATTATGTACTGCGTCTTATACCTTGACTACAATAGCCACTTTTCTTGTATCACGGAAGTTTGTAAATGCATCAATAAACCACAATGTTTACATTCTGTCTGTCCAGGGTTATTATTTGCTGTATTCGATGTCGTACAAACTAATCTAATCGGTGCAATCCGTGATACAAGAAAGGAGGCTTTTGCAGTAAAGGTATAAGACGATGATCGTAATAGTTTAACATTGTGAAGAAAGCTAAGATTGAGAATAAAAAAGATTCTATTTTATTTATGACATGTGTTGATTAAAAGTAGAAATACGAGTTGGGTCAGGTTTCTACCCAGGATGACATCAATTTCTTCCTTTTTAACTCTCAAGACACAAGTCAGCTTTGATGTGTCACTACTGATTAATTGACAATTTCACTCAGTACACGAATATCAACTTATTTTTGTTGAAAAATAGTATTCACAGGTCCCAGTACGAGTTTTAACGGACTTTTTTTTATAATCAAGATTAAATGGTCAATTTGCGATGTAAACAACATTATTTAGTCGCTTTCGTCTCAGCCTTTTCCTACATTATCTGTCTTACACCTATCCTTGTAACATCTGTATCACGATTCTTAAACGTGAAATGTAACACTTGCAGAAATGTTATGAAATCTTCATCCACTGGCAGTTTAGATTGTACTTTGATGAAAATTTTCCAATTTAAGAAAGGATTGTGACAAGCACTCTTTAGGTTTTTAGAAAAGAAGAAAATCTGGCAAGGTCTCTCAAAGATCTTTAAAGAGCAGTCTGATTTTTTGTAGGTCGGAAAATTTAGGTGATCAAATTAACAAATACTATAGGCCAAAATCTAGAGATATGTGTCTCTGTTCTTATCTGAAAATTTAAACTTAAAAAACCCAAACCATCTAAAATGTTAACGTCAACTCTTCCATTTCAGTGCTATAGATTGGGAGTATTTTGGGATTGGATCTGATCACTACATCATAGTATCGAACGCACAAAATGGTGGTACGTTCGAGCAACATACCAGTATCATTTATCGGTGGCAGGGTATGGATAGATTTGTACCCGTTCATAAAATGGCCACTCCACCAACAACCGATTGGGAAATTTTCACTCAAAACAAAGATGTCTACCTCATTTATGCTAATGCCAATGACAATACCTCTCAAGTTTTAAAAGTGAAATTTCTTTGAATTATTTATGAACGCTAAATATAGACCGTGTACAGAATTTATATATTTGACAATGGATAGAGAATGGTCACACTTAAGTGAAGGAGCTCAGATTTAGATATATAGAGAAGGATAGATCTTATTGTCCTTTTACGTTTAAAAGAAGTTTTCTAGCTTTTAAAGGCACAATGATAGTTTCTATTTGCATCGATTTGCCATTAAAATATATGTCTACAAAGTAAAAGAACCACAAGCAAGTAGCAGCTCGATCAATTTGATTAAAATGGTAATCCACAGAAAAAAATCACGAAAAGAATTACAGTTTAATCAGATCAGTCCATCATGCAATTAACATTGTCGAGTCTGAGAAGAAACCCAAAGCATTTTCATATGCGATGCTACAGAAATGCCAGCTCTTAGAACCGTAGTCCGTCCACGCAACCTCAAGCATTTTATAAGCCATTTATCCAATAAAATCGGGTCACTTCAAACCGAACATTAGAATTTAATACACTTTTATAATATACATATTGTTTATACTTATATTATTATATACTTTTCTTATTTTTTGTTAAAATTTAGTTATATTTAATTCAAATCAACGAAAATTCTGCAGTGTGCAACAAGGGAATTATTTCAAGGCTAGAGGTTACTCTTTTCCGACTTATTAACTTTTGAGGGATATTTTTAATACGCAGTTTTGAAAGTGAAATGAAATAGTCTAATCTCTTTAATCTTTAAATTAACCTTCACAGTCTGTAACACACGACACCTCGGTTTATTGCCCCATCCGAACAACTAGACTAATTATGCATATCAGTTCTTCCGACCATCATCACTGACAGGGAGAAATCAGCGTTTCTATGAATCATTAGGGCAGTGTTTAAGTAAGGGCCACAGAATTGCCATGCAGGTTGTGGAGCTCCCCTTGATATTTGAAAGTGGAGGACGTTTAAAGTGCAATGAGAGACCCTTCCTCCATGTCCTTGAACCTGCACCACCGACAGGAGGGACGCGAGCATACTAGTTTCACATATCCTTCGTAAATGAAATATTCTCAAGCTGCACCTTAAACATCATTTGTGAGAAACTGGTGCATCTACTCATCTACATTGTTCACACAGTGGATGGATGATCAATTTCATTATTCAATTTTAGGGTCACCTATGTTTGCGTGATTCGCTGTGTACAAATTCATCATGATGGCAAAAATTGATGGCCCCTCTACTTTCTTCCCACAGCCCAACTAGAGACCAATATATCAAAAGGGATCACCAACTTGGATCGCCAATATTTTACCTTGAATGACTAATGATGTAAGATTGTCCAATGACTGTCAAATCATCGACAGCTTCGACATCACAAATTACCCAATTTACACATGTCGCTACATGGTGTGAATAAATTATGATTTACTGTAACCTATATTCGCGTGGATAGCTTGTAGCTCATTAAACAAATATATCAGTATACTGGTCTACAGGGGAATGGGTGGAAGGGTGGGGGAGCTTCGGTACATGGATAACTTACAAGTAGTTATTAGGAAAAATTACTGAGACATTGTTAACTTTAGCATCTTCGGCACAATGAAATGAACAGGAAAGATATTTTAGTCTACAGCGACTATGTGTAAAATAAACTGTATTAGCCATGCAGACTATTCGCAAGGTTCATATATTCAGGACATAACCTAAGAAAATAGCAGTGTCCGAGACCCCAAAGGGTATTGTAGCTAACCATATCCCCTTTTCAAAGTGAAATCCTACATGAAGTTCGTCAACAATATGAGAAGTTATTTTTCTTGATGCATCCACGGAATTGTAGTATCAGAATGAATCGTTTAGAATCCAAGTTGTTATTCTTTTAGATTGTGGCATTTTGATTTTTTTTTACATTGACCCACACGTTTTCAATTAATTTGCACTAAATTGAAATATACCTTTACATATTGTCCGTCATTTAATCTGTATTAATGTGATTAATATTTATTTCACCGAGACACGATGTGGAGACGGGTTCCAGATCGTACGCAGATCATAGAAATATATCCGCATATTTTATCAGTAGAACTTGAAATCTAACCAGTTTAAAACTTAATAATGACTACACGTTCCCCGAGGCGCTGTCGTCTTTTCCTTCAGCCTATTTTAAACCCGATTTGAACTGCGACTCTCTCGGATCTGTCAAACCCATTTACATAAGACAATTTCGTTTGTGGACTTGAATCACAGTGGCAGTTGAAAACTTGTTACTCGGTTGATGACATTCTAACCGAAATACTCAATGAATAATTTTGTTTTTGGGGATATCTCATCTAGTGTCTTTCTTTTCGGGATTCGCTGTGGAGAAGCACGGTGACCAAACCTAACCAGACCCCTTTGGAAACATAAGTCGAGAATCCAGTACTTTCGTTCTGTTATATTTTTAATTTGACGGCAGTGTGAGACAAGGCGACGCTTTGAGTACCTTTTTTCAGCGCCAACCAAAAGTATCGACCACAGATTCATGTAGACACGTACTTCAACTGGATTTATTAGCAGAATAAAAGTTTGGATTATTTTCTAAAATGAGGTAACGTATGATTTTAAAAAATTTGGAGCAAAAATGTTATAAATGATTAAGAAATTTGATGAAAATTGAACCACGTATATTCTTAAGAGACGTAAATATTTTATCAAAATTAATAAAAGAATACTATACCTCTAAGAATGAACATAAGTTTTAAAAGATTCAGCTTTTTTTTCTTAGTTTTATGGATCAATACGGGGATTCTGTTGTAAAGTTTTTAGTTTACCATTACAATTATTTTAAATTTCAACTTTACATTACGTCTATGATATTTTTTCAATATATACCTCGTTAATTGGTGCGCCCTGCCACTTCAAAGGGATACTTTACTCTATTTATTTGACTATATTCCGTTACAGTGCACACCGATTTTCTATGTATATTTTGACAATAACACCGTCTTTAGTTACATATAATTGAAGTTCATAAAACAAGGACTACTCCCTTCAATTGATTTTAAAAGAAATATAATAACAAAATATCTCACTGTTAAAATAGTTCATGTAAATAAAACACGAATGATTTTACCGTTGATTACGAATTTGATTCCACAAAATTGATAAATCTGTGCACAAAAGGAGAAAGATGTTCACAAAATTCGTCTAGAGCCCACTTGTATTTTTCTACATAGAAACAGAATAGTATTTTGATGTTAAAAAGAAAGTAACATAAATTTGGTATTTGCTGTACAAGGAGTTATTCGGGGTCAAAAATGAACCACTCAAATTCATTCATCTGGCTGTTTCCTATAAAAAAAAATCGACAATGGCCAACAAGTGCGAGTGTTTGATAGATTAGAGAAAGATTGTTCTCTAAAATGCATAACAACACCACACCATACTTCATAGATTATTTTTAAATCTCTTAGTAGTATGAATATCAAATTTTGATTCTCAAATTGGCCAATGAGGAAACATCTTTGGACCTAACCAGTGGCATAACTATGCAACATAATCTCTCTATAAATTTTAAGTTATCTACAAAACTATTGCTTCTCATTAGGGGGGTAATTCTTATCTTTATAGAATGAACATTAAAGTTAACGTCTCAAACTTGGCTATAAGAGTAAAATATGATATCCAACAGTGGACATACAAACTGAATTATTATTAAATCCATAAAACTAAGTAATTATCCATATGACTATAGGCTATTATTGAGAATCATCACAAACTGTCTAACAGTGTCAAAGACATTTTACAAACATCACATATCATCACAATTTTACTACAGGTTAAGTACATACTCAGAATTCGGAACCACCACTAACACAAAAATCCCAATACCTTTTTCAGTTATGGTGTGAACATATTATTGTCGGATACCCCTGCAATAAATAGTAACTACAGAGACAGAGTGAGTTGACTCTTACGAAACACCTGATGTCACTTTGCAACCTCTCCAACTTGAAATCCAAGTGCACTTGGTGTCAGGTTTGAGAGATGACAAGCAAATTTAAAGCTCGTTCATTAATACCGCACTCTATATTCCCCAGTGCAGTATGTAAATTTCATTCAAATATAACGTCACTTTTCATTATTCAAGATTTTAAACAAAAGTACCTAATAAAAACTGGTTTGGAAAAGTGTGGAACTTCAACACTTGATTTCGGTACATGTTAAGTGAGCTTATAACACTGTTTAATCAAAAAACATGTACTGTCCTTACAATGTTACTGTTATTATTAATATGCTCTTAGGTCAGTGTCTGAAGATGTATAGCGGGAAACTCTGGGTAACAACAACATGTTTTAATATTTCTAACATGCTCTTATAATACAGTCAAATACAATATTCAGAAGCATTACATACTGGTATCAAGCGACGTGTATCACTTTGCCAATTTTTTTTTTTTTTGCGTGTAACATCACCTTGGGGACATTGATAGCATCCTATTACACCATTTCAATTTCAGTCAGACACCTGCTATTTCAGAAAACAAATGAGTTTGATGACTTCACTAATCGCGAAATGTGTCAAACATTTAGTGGTATTGGACTTGCCGGAACCACAGGCGTCAAAGGGTGCAAGATGATGATATCAGTGCCCCCGATACACGTAAAAGAATTAGAAAACCTCTTTACAATTCCTGTGACAGCATATGAATACTGAACGGTCGACAATATAACTTCTAATAATTCTTCAACATCGATAACAGTTGTTGCCAACTGGTTATCCTACCCTGGTTAGTTATATTAAAAGCGTATGATTACAGAAAGTCGAAGATGTCGACAATATAACCTTGGAATGCTTTAAATTTCAGGTTGCTAGGGGCCACGATTGTAACTTGGATGACGTTCTGTACCTTGTATATCGTAACAGAAGTTAGAGCTCAGGGTAATGTATATCTCCGCCTATTCTCACGAGATTCCCATCCCATATCGCTTCACCCTCAATCTAGACCTCTCCTTTCCATATTCTACATTTAGACTCACCCGCCGACAGACTGAAAGCCACCAAAAAATGTCTGATATTTTGAAATTCTATTATTCAAACTAGGTACCCTCTGTAGCGTTTGCTGTTACCTATATATGATACTCTTGCTACACTTTCAAATAAATACAGATATATCTTTTTGTGAATTGCACCTTCGATATGAACAATTTTAATCCAGGACAAGAGAACAATCATTTTTTCACATTAACCCTGTTTTATTATAGTTATTAGCACAAAGACTGATCAAATCCACGTCAGCTTTATTACGGTTCTAAAAATTAAAAACAACGCTCTTAAGCCAAGATTTAGCAATAGAAATACTACGGAACCTTCAAGTTCCTGTATTTGAATAGGTTGATTTGTATCCAACCTCTAAAATTTCAGGAGTAAACTGCAATGTTCCGGGAGATGTGATTTTCCTGATGGACGCTTCCGACAGCATAGACCCCGCGGACTGGGAACGGGAAAAAAATTTTGTGGAGATTTTGATTGACAGTCTCACAATTCAGCCGGATGCGATCCACGTCGGAATGGTCGTATACAGTACATTTATCGGAGACGTGATCGGTTTGAAGCCGTACAAGGCTAAATCTCGACTGAAGACCATAGCTAGAAATTTGACACAGCTGCGTGACGGTACGGACACTGCACTTGGTATAGCGGAGGTGCGGAAGATGTTCCGGCTACAAGGTCGTTCTAACACTCCACACGTCGCTATCGTCATCACGGACGGTCTGTCCACTATTCCCGCCGAAACTGTCCGTCAGGCGTTTATGGCCAAGCGAGAAGGAACAGCTATGATTGCTGTGGGTATTGGGGATCAAGTCTTCATGGATGAACTGAGAGATATAGCATCATCGGCTTCCACACTGTTTAATGTCCAGGATTTCAGAGCTTTACAAGGTCTTGTCCAGAGTCTCAGGGACATCATTTGTTGGGGTAAGTTTATCTTCGGTATTTGAGTAGTACGTATATCAAAGATCTAATAGTTAAGATGTCATTCTAACATATTAGACCAAGAAATAGAAATCCAAACAGCAAATTTGTAAGAGATAAAAGTGAATAAAGATGTTTTAAAACCCGATGCATTCGTATGTGGTAGGCATTTAGATTTGCTGATGCGCTGATACATATATATACACATATTCACATAGTTGATAAGTTGTGAAATTGTGAAAGTGATTGTCTTAACAGAATATATAAGAATTTAAGAACTAAAGAAAAATTCTTAAAAAAATTGCCCCCATTATGTAATATTAGTTATTTGTTAGTATAAAGAAAGTTTGCTTACTTCAGAAATCAAAACTACCACAACTACTACTACTACCACTACTACAACGACTCCACGACCTCGACCAACACCGCCCACCTTACCACCCTGGACACCAATTCTACCAAATGGTAAGTATGTGAAAAAAAGTTATTTCACAATGTCAAGCTATTACGAACTAAGTCGTATACATTCTCTCCCAAAGCCACCTTTCCAGGGTCTCGGAAGTTTGTAAATTCAGTGATTTGATTGGATTTTACAAGGGCGAATCCAGCGAATCAGAACTGGAGTGTGGGGCAATGAACCAAGATGTAGGCTATGCACGCTCAGTCAAAAACAGTTTGAAAATAGTCAATGCATTACGTGACTGTTATTAGCCCAAAATGAAAATGAAATAAATGGAGTTTATTTCCTTCTGACATTACTATAATGAACAAAAAATCAGAATGTAAAGTTCCATTTCATGTCTTGCATAATGCATGTTTGTTCAAATACTTTCAGTATTGGCATGTTCCAGTCCAGCGGACGTCATTTTTGTCATGGATGGTTCAGATAGTATCATACCCATGGATTGGATCAGAGAAAAACAGTTCGTAGCTCAACTCATAAACAGTTTTGACATAGGGCCGTCAGCCATTAACGTCGGAGCGGTAGTCTACAGTTCCATAGTCGGAGATGTTATTCAGTTACGACCGTTTAAAAGCAAACAGAGGATTGTCAATATGATCATGTCTTTGAAGCAACCAAGGTTCAGCACCAACACCAAGTTGGGTATTGCCATGGTAAGCATCTGTAAATGCTTTTTGAAACTTCCAAAAGTTAATTTATCTAGAATGTAATTGTATAAAGGCATGTTATGTTCTATAAAATATCAAATCTTATGTATAGGCCTAAAACAAATACTACATTTGAAGTTGGTTTGGTTTGGCTGGCAGTTTTCTTCCGTTAGTCTTCTTTTTTATTGGATCTGGAATAAGTAGACACTTTTGTTTCCATCAATATTCATCAACGTATAAGCTTGAAATTCTTAAAATAAATAATAAATAGATCAATTTATTCAGTTTGAAGGTAAAACGCCCAAAGAACATAGATTAAATTCATGTTATCACAATACAAGTAAATATATATAAAAGAACTATTTGCAATAAGAATTGAATCAATTATTTTATCTTTTTAGTGTACGTTTACGTCTTTTCTACTTAAAGAGGCATAATATACAGATTTAGCTACATTCCTTATAATACTTTCCTTCTGGCTGGATATGATAGTAATAAATTCTGTATATAATCTATATTTAAAGATAGGTTTCCTTATTCTTTAGTGTCCGAAGCAAACTTTTTGATTAAAGGGGTTTAACCAATCATAAATGTCCATGTATGTACAATCTGGATAAACAAAAAAAAAGACATTTTGACCTTTCTTGATCAGTCACTCATTGGAAGTCTGCTGGTAATTCTCTTCTACATGTGAGACAAACAGGTATATTTCTAAGTCATTAGAACACCTCTATTTTCTATTCATATAAGTATTAGCATTTTCATTTTCATATGTGAAAATAGGGGAACCCATCTTTAATATAACAACTAATATTTGGAATGAATAATAATAAGTACCAACGCAAGCAGGACAAGAAATGTTCATCTTTCTAGAACACCTGATGATACCTGGTGTGACAGCTCGACAACCCTAACATAACTAAACTTTCCCAACCGGCTAGAATGGATTTTGAAATACTTTTTAGGCCAGGCAGATGGTAGCATACCAGGGTCGTAAAGACACACCACAGATCATCATTGTCATCACAGACGGTAAATCTGACCGACCAACCGATAGCATCATCCAGGCTATGGGAGCAAAGAGTGAAGGTATCACCATGATCGCTGTGGGGGTCGGAATTGACATCTTCATGGATGAACTTCGAGGCATTGCCTCCACTCAGAAGAATCTTTTCCTTGCAGCTGACTTTAGAGCTTTGCAAGGTTTAGTAGCCACCTTGAAAGACCTGATCTGTAAAGGTACCTGGCTTTTGCTTTTTAAAGATTGTCCATATTCAGTGCATTCTCGCTTGAAAGTTCATGTTGCATTATGAATACTTTTTTCTGCAGTACCTGATCCCCTATTCCTGAGCATATGGAACTTTCAGCATAAGCCAATTGATATTGAAGACGTATATTGTAACTTAAAATAAATCTTGATGTTTGCAATATAGATGACTATCCAATGTTTGCTGAATCGAGTTTTGCTTTGCACACGAATTTTGTAGCACAGTCTTTTGCTTAATGTAGCTTGACCAAACGATTTGCTAGATCATTCGCATCTGTAGCTCAGTTTATGTCGAATAAAAGAGGATGAAAGTGTATTTTCTTTGTTTTAGTTATTACTACTACGCCTGCTCCGATACCTACGACCACGCCCACTCCATTTGTAACAACATCAGATGGTATGTACGAATTACCATACTTTTTTGTTCGTATAAACCCTTTTGGAAATCGAAAAGAGAATAGGCCAATACGTTGTCATGGTAAAGTTTTGGTCATTGCGCACCGCATGGTCCGACGAATTAACTTGCAGGAGCTAATATTTCCGGTTGCGTCTTTCTGGAATTGCAGGAATTACAGGCGTTAGCGAAAAATTGGAATGTCCCAAGTAATAGTCAAAGGTGTCGCCAATACACATGAGAGGCTGGAAAACTCTTTACAATCTCTTTAACAACTCACAAATCCAAATATTTATAACATGAAGAATACCCCCCCCCCCCCCCTCCCCTCTCACTTCATGCAAAAATGTATAAAAAAAAAATAAAGTCAAAATATGCAAAACTGAGCAGTTTTCTTAGATTCATTACAGAAATAACCGTTACATATTTATTCAGATAAACATCAGAATGTATCATTTCGGGGTCTGATTTTTAAAAATGATATTGCCTCTGCAGAAAATGGCATTGGCTCAACATCCCCATCGCTTCCCGAAAGTTGTGTGGGCGCCCTTGGGTGAGGAAATAAGTTTAACGTTTATTTGTAGTTTTTTAATGTAACAAACATGCTGACAATTTGAATATTCCAGGTCTATGTGACGGCCGTGTAATGGATAAAGGGATCGGATATAACGCCTATCCAGAAGACTGTACTAAATATGTCCAGTGTTTTCAACAAGGGAATACCTACAGATCAGTTATTCGTCCCTGTCCGTTCGGAACGTTCTGGGATCAGAACGCAGTCACATGTAGCAATGCTGCTAATGTAATCTGTCGTAACGGTGAGTAGTTTTGCCACAAAGTCAGATTACTTAGGGACTCATATGATGCTACATTACAACTGGGCCTGTCATAGTACCCAGGAGGGTTTGAGTCTCCCTTATGTACAGGCCTTGGGAGGACAAAATAGACGCAATTAGATGAAACAATAGGTCGCCCAAAGGGTGAGAGGTTATTTTGTTATACGCCCACATGAAATGGAGGGCGTATATTCTTGTCACCCTGTCCGTCTGTCCGTCCACAATTGCTCGTAAACACTGTACAAGGCACAATTCTTAATTGATTTCCACGAAACTTGGTATGGTTGTTTGTAGTCACCCAAGGATGAACCCTATTGAAAATCAGAAGAATCGAAAAATATTTAGTATGAGTTATTGCCCTTGTTCTTGAAAATGCATTCGATTTTAGCTTGTTAACACTCTAGAAGGCACAATTCTGGACGGATTTTGACGAAACTTGGCATGACTGTTTGTTTTCACCCAAGAATAATCTATTGAAAATCAGAAAAATTGAAAAATATATTTTTCATTTAGTGTGAGTTATTACCCTTGTTCTTGAAAACGCGTTCAATATTTAGCTCGTTATCACTCCAGAAGGCACGAATCTTGACGGATTTTGATGAAACTGAGTGTGAGTGTTAATAATCACCCAATGATGAACCCTAACGAAAATCAGAAAAATCTAAAAATATTATTGCCCCTATTCTTAAAAACGCATTCAAGTTTTAGCCTGTAAACACTCTAGAATGCCCAATTGTTGACATATTTTGATGACACTTGTTAATATTATTCTGTATCGCCTCAAAAAATTCAAAAGAAGTGTATGTCTGAAGGTTGAATATTTCATACTGGTAATTGTTACTGTACTGCCAAATATTTTGATTTAAAATCAAAGCTGCCAGTGGGCGTATATTACCTTGTCTGGCAAGCTATCTTTATATATTAATTTGTTTTGAACAAGGTTCTGGTTTTGCGAATATGGAGCAATTATCCCTTGTTTATACACGTGCGTTTCAGATCTCTGCAGAACGATGCCAGATTATGTAATCTATGCCCACAGTGGACCTGGCTGTCGTCCGCACTGGATGTGTCTGGGACAACGCTCCTTACCCCAGTGCTGTCCCGCTGGGTCGCGCTTTATAGATAAAGTTGGCTGTATTGTTGATCCGATGTGTATGGAGTCGTGTATGTCCCACCATCATGAGAATCACACCTCGGGTAAGATCAACATTTTTTGCATGTTCAATTGGGATGAAAACATTTTTTGCATGTATGTTTAAATGGCAATGCTTGTTTTGCTTTTTTGCATGCAGCCTACCTAGTTAGCAAATGCATCGTTTAGAAAATATTGTCAAAACTTAGTAAGACTAGATTAAGCTTGAGCGCAATATTGCATGTATCTTTCTGGCAGATAAGATTGTAGTATATTGAGCTTACATTGCATGTGATATGGTCTAAATATTGGTTGAAAGAGCAAAATCACTTATCCGTACAACTTTGGGCTATACAAATTCGACCTGCAGCCTGCAGTTCATATACAATTAAGGAAAAATGTAAGGACGAAAGTGATATGGTTAAAATGTCCTTTGTATTTGATACGTTTAAAAAATAAACAGTCCAGACGTTAAATTCTTATTCTTATGTTCACAAGACTGATATGCATTAGACGATAAATCCCTATTATCAGCATTGCACAGTAGTTATTCTAGCATGGCACTCTGCACCTGTACGCTGCTCTAAATTATTTAGCTTTCACTTCCAGTGTCTGTCATTTTGCCATTATATGTTGCAATATCTCGATAGTTAGAAATGTAGATGTATTCGTGAATCATTCGGTGAAAACACATCCTTTTAGTTATATACGTATCTCAGCAGTTTATAATTGATTTCCTTTGAAACAATATTTACCAATCAAAATTTCTTACCTGGCATTGCTAAACATTGTCATCTTTGACCAAAAATCATTTTGTGTAGAATAAAACGAATACATCAATATCTTCTAATAGTCTTTTTTTCTGCCTTTCCTAAGCTGAATGTATGTTAAAAACTCACGCCGATAAAAAGTTTTATTTGGAAACGATTGCTGGTTTTGGTGAAATAGCTCGTCCCTGTGCTCCTGGTTCCATTTTCAGTGAAAAACAATGCACTTGTATCTCAGCGCCTGACCTAAACCTTCACTCGCAAGGTGAACTATCTTATGCAAGTGTTACATTTCATTCTACTAACGCTTTAACATTTTTTCATTTTCATTTTTCATCAATGGCGGCAGAAGACAATTAATTTTTCTTACTAGTAATGATTAAACAAGTTAGTTATAGAGTGACAAAATGATAACCAACATCAGAATGTCAGGAAGAATATTCTTAAATTTGTATCTATTTGTTAATATACCAAGTTGAGTAGCCTCCATATTCAATTGTGGAATAAATCAAACCTTCAAAATTCGTAACCTTTTATACTTTTGAACCTTCGTAAACTTTAAGTACCTATTATTTCATACATACATGATGTACCAATAATGATTTTTTAATTCCAAACTTCAGTGTGTAAATCGTCTGTCCACTACTCGTTTGACCATGGAATCGACGACAAATCTCAGAACGGAGTCACCGCCGGAGTGAACAATGTCAGAATCAGCAACAGAGGTACGGCCATGTTTAACGGAAAAAGTCAGGTAAATCTCTGGAGGTTCGCTGGAGTGGAATTCGGACCGGAACTAGTCCTAAAATTTCGTTACAGAATGTGGACACCTGCCACTGATTGGACACCTGGATCGGGAGGAACCTGGACCTGGGATGCAAGTTCAAACTCGTGGATCAACAGTACAAGCAGCGCTGGATCTTGGATGTCCGGAATGGATGGTGTGTGGATCGGAACCAATGATCAGACTGGACAGCAGTGGCTCGGAGTCGGAAACCCTGGTGGACACTGGGTCGGAACCGTTGATTCCGGTATGACAGGGAATGGAATGGGATATGATTTCTGGAACAGTTTGAGCACTGGAACTGGTGTGTGGCCTGGAATGTGGCAGGTCGGAAACGGCATGAATGGGGTCGGCTTGGGTAGCATGTGGACCGGAGCTTTCGGCGGAAACGGAATATCTGGAACCTCTAGTTTCTCCGGAAGCGGTAACTGGGTTGGTGGAAGTAGTTCTTCCACTGGATCGTGGTCGGGAACTTTTGGTAATGGTAATGGCGGAACGTGGTCAGGTGTTGCCAGAACCGGATCGGGAACATGGTCCGGAACAACTACCAATAATCAACTGGTCACAGGAACATGGGCAGATATGAGTGGAGCAGGAACCTATGGTATTTGGAATGTAACCTCTGGTCCTTGGCTTGGCACGAGCGGAGTTTGGTCCACAAATGGGAACGGAGGAGGAACGTGGATTGTCACACAAGTAGCCGATATGACTAACTCAGGGGGTTCTTGGAGCAACACCGGTAGATATGATTCATCGTGGAACATGAACACTCAAGGTACCGGAAATACTGGCGAAGTGTGGACAGGGACTTTAGATCTGGGATCTCTGGATACTGGAACATCATGGAGTAGAGGCAGTGAAACTGAAACGCGGGGTACATCGACGTGGAACAACGTTCAAGGGTCAGGAACTAACATCCAAGGTGGAACGTCAAGCACAAGTACATCGACAGGGAACACTGGATTGTGGACAGATGGGACCGGAGAGACCATCAACACCAATGTAGACAAGTCTGGTATCAATATACAAGGGGCCACGACAGGTGGAAACACAGACAGCGTCGACACTTCCAAGAATCAGATTTCTGATAACATCGACATCACCAAGGTTGGAATCGACGCTGGCGCTAAAGGTATCAATACTGGGCCAACTGGTGGAACCAACCAGATTAACCGAATGTACAGTCTGGATACTGTCAATTTCTTGGGTGGCAAGTGGGATAATGGCAATTGGGTTTCTGACAGTTCTGATACAGGACCTCAAACGTCTGTTGACACCAGCTGGACATTTGAAAAAGAGATTTCTGGTGGACAAACAGGACCTACTAAACCAGTAGTCAACCAGCCGCGTCGTAATAGATGGCAGATCGTGGGTAGTGGTAAACCAAACATCCCCGTCATCGATACACCTAAAACTGGCGGCAGCATCGATTCTATATTTAACGTAGACGGACAATGGGTCGTACAACCCAATAAAAACCAAGGCCAGCCAGCTGTGCGGGTAGAGGGTGGTCGATGGGTCAAGGAACCAACCAATCCAAGCAGTACTACCACCGACAGTCAAGGACGAAGCTTCATCACCGGATCTGGAATGTGGAAGATTGTTGGACCGGATGGACGAATTATACGATCAGGAGTAGGTAACTCCATTCCAGCAAATGTTATTAATGAACTGATGGGCAACACAAGATCTGTAGGTTGGACCAAACAACTAGAATGGACCATCATTGGACCAAATGGGCAGCTCTTGCGGTCCGGAACTGGACAAATTCCTCAGAATCTTCGAAACACTGGAACCGTCTTAGCAGGTGGCTTCTTCGACGTCAATCTTGGTGATGTAAGTCAATGGGTCATCATCAGCGGTGATGGTCAGATTACTAAACATGGTATAGGTAGCACCCCCAACGTCCAGATACCTCAAGGTTCACTTCTGATGAAGATCATCTGGTCATCCGGGAACCAACAATGGACAATAGCCAAACCTGACGGCACAGTCATCAAATCAGGAACCGGAAACTTCCCACAAACTCTCGACTTGTCCAATCTTTTGAATCAGGTGAAACCGACAGGTAGATTTGGAATGGGACAAACGGGTGCCACAGTAGTAACTGGTTCCGGAGGCGGGGGAAGATGGATAATTGGTGGCAACCAAGCAATGGCTAGACAACCATCAGTAATGAAAATAGGGGGTGGACAAGTGAAAATAGGAAGTGGACAACCATCAGTAGTGAAAATAGGGAGTGGACAACCATCAATAATGAAAATAGGGGGTGGACAAGTGAAAATAGGGAGTGGACAACCATCAGTAGTGAAAATAGGGAGTGGACCACTTCCGATGAATGTGGGGGGATCAAGCCAATGGACCGTCTCAGGATCGGGTACAAGTGGCCCAAGTAGTATAGACATTAACAAAATCATCGGAGCAATTGGTGGCAAAATACCAGGATCAAGCGTCGGTTCTTCCGGACCTCGACAAGGGTCATCTGGAACAGCGACCTTCGTGTCTAACTCTGGTACATCTGGTCAGCAAGGTGGTTCCGGATCATCCAACATCCGTGGTGTGTCTTCAGTGGCTGGAAGTGGTCGAGTTGACTCTACTCCACTTGGTTCTAGGGGGGTTACTGATTTAGAAAGAGGGTCATTTGATGTGACGGTTGACAAGACTAATATTGGACCACTAGATTATAACTTGAGGGCCATCAAGATGCGATCCAAGAGATCCCTTTCTCGACCACAAGCCATTATTTCCAACTGTAACGGTGTCAATGGTGAAGGACCTTCCATTATGGTTTCCGGTGGTCCTGATTATGTTACTTTCTCCATCAAAACTTCCAATACTGTGCGACCAGCTCAGCTTACCATACCAGCGGTAAGTTCACTTAAGTCTAATATTAAGACTAATTTATGACAATTCTCTGCTTTCTAAATAAGTAAGCTTATGCCGAAGTTTTAACAAATCACTCTAATTGCATTCTGCATAACCATCTTTATTAGCCTAATCAGGTGCAGGAAAACATGAAAAATATGACATTTCTTGTCGTTACTTTTTGCAGTAATATGAATAGGAACTAAAAAAGATAGTGGACCACAGCCATATACGCCAATACCTCAAAAAAGAGTTTATTAAATTATCATCAAATTAAAACATGAACGAGGTCTCATTGATTATTTCCAATTTCGAACTTGACTGAGATCTCATCAATATATACATGTATAGCAAGTTACATCAAGATCAGATAAAAACTGTCTTTATCGTGCCGACTGACGTTTTCTATGTGGACGCATAAAAACACAACGACGGGACCCGAGATACCAGTGTTTTTCCGGATTTCTTGACCAAGTCTCGTCTCACATAGGTATCTGACTAGGGAATCTATCTAAGTATTTGACATATGTTTTATATTGTAGAGACCTGGGTATAACGATGTGTCTATGATATACGATGGCCAGAATTTAAAAGCAAAAGTAAACGATATCGCTCGCTCAATCCCATTAACAGGTACAGTCCGTTTAATACACTTCAAAAGAGCTCCTGTAACATCCTCTACCAATATAGTAAATCCAACAGGGCTGTTACTACATTTTAACAAACGAGGTAACGCCTCATGGCGAACTTGAAGCAAAAGATAAATAAATAAATTTTGCTTCAAAAATGAAAAAAATTTGCAAAGACCAAGTCCAAAAGTAGAACGACACTTTGCACTGATAGAATTTGTAATATTAAAACATATCACATATCTTTCAGGTAAAATCGAAATGAGGCAAGCAGGTTTATTATTTGGAGCTTGTAATGGTTATGCTAATTTTAGAGGAGAAGTAGATGACGTAAGTATAGCTTTAATAGGATATGTTTGGCGAATATGTTACATTATGGGTATTCAAGCGAAATCATGTTTTAATCTGATCCTTATAGTTGATTAAAAATTGCAATCCTTCAATACGTATATAAGATTTTTATTATTGAGACTTCGGAACTTGATTTTTCCCAATAAAATACTTTATTTTCGCATCCTGATCACAGAAAATCGTCATATTTTGTCTGTAGCATTCAGAATCAATGTTTAACTTTTTTGTTTGTGTCTCAGAATGCAACTCGTCCGATACCAAAATATGAAGGCATTTTTTTACTGTGTCAAGTAATTATGAAAAAAAATCTAAGTGTTTTTTTTTCAATTTCATTTCAGTTCGAGATGTATGAATGTATTCCACCATTTTGGGGCTAATTATCCGGGACTTCTGTCACGTAATTAGCTGTGATGTACATAATAGACTTTATTTAAACCAACCCATTTTATAATTCTAACCAGAAGTTGTTAATTCGCCAAAAATATTCGAAAGTTTAAAATTACTACTTCATTTTTATAATTCACCATAGCTTTAAGGTTGAATTTATAACTTTTATAGCTAATTTGCAATGTGGATAAAAAATAATAGTAAAATAAGCTTATTTGAAAATCATTTCTCTTGCCAACTGCTAGCTTTAATGTCGAAATAATGGTTCAGAAAAGATCTATTTTCAATTTATTAGCATTAGCATAAAAAAGTTGTCAGGCATATTACATGACATGACATAACATAATTATGCCAACTTGAGCAATTCTAAAGCTGTAAGGTATAAGCCGAAGAAGGTCGTAATATCTTGACATTGTGAAGATGATCACTGGCATAAGGTAAAATATTAAAATGTGTTCAGTTTTAATAAGAATCACGCATGTGATTGATGTGTGTGTAAGAAATGAATAAATATCTAATATCTAAGCACTCTAATTATACCAATTGGATCTGAGTGAATTCCTAGTCAAAAATGTAGACAAAAATTTAAGCACTTTGTAGATACAGTAGCACCTTGGCTCAAACAGCCGATCTTACCCTTTTCAAAAATTCCATGGTAAAAACAATATTTTTGGACAAAATAAAAATAATTTTAAGAAATGTAAGTTGTTGTTTTTTGGTCTCAATTTGATACAGACATCTGGGTCCATTCTCAAAAGAAAACCCAACCTAATGATAAAAATTTGTTGTAATTGTGGATTCTCATATTGAGATTTACCATACTAATGACAAAAATTATAATAAGTTTTTCCTGTTTATATAAACAAGAGGGCTTGGGAAAGTCAACATAAAAAAGGAATTATATTAATTCATTAGAATACAAATTTTTCCCTTAAAATTTGTGAACATGGATTTTACAATATAGATCAGCAAATCATGCTTTTGTCTATACAAATAGTCTCTATCACATATGTCACGTTTAATTGTTGTGGAGATAGAGTGTAAGGACTCATTTATTTGGCATAATAATATACATGTGCCATTACAAATGGCGGCTTACATTACAAGTAATTACGTCACTAAGGAATGCGTGTCACGTGACTAGCTAGTGTACCGTATGGAAAGCAATCTCCTACTAAATATCATATGCATGTTCTAGTCACAGTATTATAGTAAATACATCACACTCCTCCTTGCTAAGCTTAAATGTTCTTCCATATTGTTTATCCTTTATGAAAACATAACTATGATTAAATGTCCACGAAATTAACGCGATTAAAAGTAATACAGTCCACAACTAAATCTGAAATTATCTGCTTGATAATAACACGTAATTTATAGTATCCGTAAGGCACACAAAGAATATTAATTGTTCATATACAAATTGACATATTAAAACTTTTTTATCAGTCTTTGTGTTTTATTCACAATTCGCGAAGATCGTCGAACTTGAGTACTTGAAGATTTGGTACTTGACTTTGAATCTTCTCTTGGTGTAGTTATATGTTTATCTGGTTCTCTAGAAATAGGCGTTGATTGGATATACATCACTTCTATTGCTACTAGATCTATCAGCTGCACTGTTCATATCACCACAATTATTATCTACTACTGAAGAAGTCAGATCATTACTAGTTGATTCTGGAGTGAACGTTTGATCTGAATTAACCTTATCTTCCCAACTTACTCTTCTTGGTAAACTAGTATGTTGATGATGTTTCAACTGACTAGGATTATCAGGTTTGTGTACCCCCATTTGTACTGTAGTAGAATCTGTTGGAGAATTAACCATTGGTTTATTAACTTCTGTATTCTCTCCCTCACTATTTTCAACTATCACATTATCTTCAAGAGAGTTGTCTCCCTTCCTCATTTGATCAATATGTCTCTTCCATACACGACCATCACGTAGAACTACTACATAAGACTTAGGAGCAGTTCTTTCTGCTATTGTACCAGGCCACCATGTACCTTTGTGACGAAAGTCTTTAATCAAAACAGAATCTCCTGGGTAAAATTCCCGAAGAGAACTTAAATTGTCATGATTAGCTTATTGATTACTTTGATGATTAAGAGCTGTTGATTTCACATCAGGATGTAGCAAACTAAGGAAAAGTTTTGCTGGCGTACAGCCTGTAGTTGGATGTTTAGTTGACATATATGATAACACGTCTAAAAAGGTCAAGATCAAGAGATATACGTCATCAAAATTTCTAATTGCACACGAGTATAAAACCGGAAGTTGACATAGGACAGCAAATATGAAAGTACAAATAGATAGCCAATGCCAATGACGTTTGATCCTACAAAGGTCAAGGTCAACAAAGGTCAAGGTCAAAAATTGACAACCGAAATTCTGAGACAAAGTGGCTCACAATATGAGGTAGTTGTATGCAAAGTTCCATTTTCAACAAATGTATACTTTGCGAGTTATGCCCCTGGCCAAAAATGTCAATAATGAGTAATTAAACCCGGAAGTGCCACGCCCAACTCAATATTTTTTGAATAAGTTAATCAATATTCAAAATGTTACGTTATGTTCCAAATGCCAAGTTCCTACATAATAGAGGTCAAAAGATATAGGTCAACAAAAGTCAACAAAGGTCAAAATCAAAAAATGAAAATATCCAAATGTTAAAACCCGTTCCTTTTTTGAAACTATAAAGCTGAAACAACTGAGCTGTTAACACAAACTGACCAAATGGATGAAGTAATTTTGTGCAAAGTCTCTTTTTGAACAAACGCATCCTATGCGAGTTATGCCCCGGCCCCAAAATGTAAACAATTAGTAATTCAACCCGGATGTGCCACGCCCACCCCAATTTTTTTGTCATAGGTGAATTCATATTCAAAGTGTCTAATTGTATTCCAAATATCAAGGTTCTCCATAAAATAGGTCATAAGATATACATACACCAAGATCAAAAAGACAAAAATATGGTAAAACAAAACTCAAATTTGAAAAAATCACGAATTTCAATTTTGCTTTAAAAAAGCAATTGTTCTATATCTATGTAAAGTGCATGAGAAGCACATTAGGAAACCGAAAAAATTAACCCTCTAGGTTAATTAGGTCACGTGCTAGAGCAGTCCAAAGTTGCGAATTTGGCTTTTTACGGATAGCTATAAAACCGGAAGTACATGTCGGGGGTCAAAGGTCAAAGTATCAAATGATAGCCAAGGTCAATGACCTTTGACCTTATGAAGGTCAAGGTCATCAAAGGTCAAGGTCACGAGATATACGCCATCAAATATTGAAAAAATTCAATCGCACATTGCAAAAAAGCAAAATCGAAATTCAAAAATCGGCTTCCTGTGATCTCTCTTAATTTTTATGTTCTTTCATTTGACACCAAAATTTTGAAATTCGGTTCAGCCAAATTGGCTGAATAAAATCGAAGTGTTTCAGGGAAATCAAAATGGCGGCCAAAGTTTCACGTCTGTTCCGGATTTTTTTTTCTTCGTTTTTTTGTCATAACTTTGTCTATCTATCAGCATAATTTTTTTTGTCTTATACAAATTACACCGGAAGATATTCAACCGGAAGTGAACATCGATTTCCTGTTTAAACCGGAAGTGAAATTGAAATTTTTACTGTACCATTTTGTTGACTTTCTTAAACTGTCTTTGCTCAATTTTTTTCAGATTAATCAGACAAAGAGCAAAAAAATGAAAAAAATGCCGATAATCGGCTCTAGAAGTCGGATTTTTCGGTCGATTTTGT